ATATACATACATATACATACATACACACATACATACATACACACCCTTAGTTAGTCCCCATTATTATGCTCCAGCATAAGTACCGGTCTTTAGGCCACATCACATTTAGAAATAGAAAAATAAATCTATATAGTATCCACAGATGCTGACAATGGAGAATTGCACTTTTGGAACATTATGCCCTTGTCCAGTACAATTCTGTACAGCAAATAAGGGATCTTCTTAAAATGCAAGTCTCACTTTCTTACTCCTTTTTTTTTTTTTTTTTAAGCATGACAGGTTTGGCCTATAACTAAAATACCACCTTTCGGTGAAATGGCCCTATAAGTGACTTGATGTATTCTGAAGGGCCTTTGCTACATTAATAATGCAGGCTAGTAATCCATATTTCTTTACCCTTTTTTGTGTCACAGCTTCTACAACGTGCAATGGAGTCTGCTCCCGCTACCAGTTTATCTGTGATGACGGCTGTTGTATAGATATTACTTTAGCATGCGACAGAGTGGTGCAGTGTCCGGATGGCTCTGATGAAGCTTTCTGTCAGAACTGTAAGTCATAGCAATTCAGGGTTAGTTATGAGTTAAGGGATTCATTCTCCCATGGATAATGCAAACTGGAAAAGGAAAAGTCATGAATATAAAGATGCTTGTAGACTTTACTGTAGAATTATGCAAAGAGCAAAGTGCAATAACCATAACAACCAATGAACATCTGTCAATAGCTATAAACACAGGGTGGCATGGATCATCAAACTGCAGTGATATCATGCTAGAACAGGAAACACTATTTATACTGCAATAATAAATAATACACGCGTTTATGGTTTAATTGATTTATAGATGAATGTAATTTAGACAAGGCTCTTGCTGCTTTTCTGTGATTATTACACTTCACTGGTTTTTATTCCCTACAGCAGTTTGCAGATATTGATTTAAATTCCATTTAATATGGTGACATTGGGATTGGGAATGTGAGTTAAGAACCAACATGAAAAGCTATATAAAGTGTATGAGCTATCAAAGCCTAATATGACATAATGACTGTATTTAATGTAATTTGTAAAGTGACACTTTGGGATTTCAGTATTAATATACACGAAATGCTACAGCTAAATGATGTGATTTCTATCTTTCCTAGTTAGCTCTGGTCGGAAGACAGTGATTCACATCACTGAAAAAACAGAAAGCCACGCAGACACTGGAGAAATGACTGACACCGAAAACAATCCTGCTATAGAGAAATCAAAGGTTACTGGGAAGAGTTCCATGTCCACAAATAAGGAAAAGAATCAGTCACTTTCTCAGGAATCACCTTACTATAGCTTGCTTAACACAGGTAGGAGAAGCATCACTTGGCTGCTTTCAACTGCACTCATAGTTAAGCTGGTCATATACCATACAATCTGATTGTAGAATCTCCTTCAAATTCACCAAAACCATGAAACAATCTATTTCATTTGTATTACATCAGGCGTGCTCTTGTGGGACATAGTTGATATTTGAGCTAAAGAAGGTTGTATAGTGTATGGTCATATTCATAAAGCAGTACATGTAACATTCACCATATATTCACAGGGAATTAACTAAATATCTTGCTTAAAGTATATCTAAAGCCAAGAACAAAAAATATGAGATAGATATAGATATATATCTATATCTATATCTATATATATAGTGAGATTTGGGGAAGTTAGCACAAATGGTGAGCGCATTAAGGAGGCATCCACTCGCTTAGGACTTCTTTTAAGGGCTTCCTTGCCCACTTTTATTAAATGAACATTCACAAAACGATGCGATTACCTCATTGCTACTGACAACTGCATACCTGCTGGACCTCTGTTCAGTTCCTCGCTCTCTCCAAGTAGTCAGAGCAGGGTTTTTCACTGTAGTGGCTGGGGTCATCGCTGCCAGATGTCGCTTGCACCAGTCCACAGCAGACTCACAATCTGGCACAGCTTTTTCTGGCACCTGTGTATCTTCCGCAGGCTTTGACCATCCCTCCAGCCACCAAACTCTTTCAATCATTTTCTCCATAACAGTCTTTTTTCTTTCAACGCCCCATCCTGGCAGAAAATCAATTTGTGCAAAACACAGCACCTTTGCACAGTTTCACAGTCCACAGAAAAGGTTTTAGAGCATTGTCTCTTCAAGGACTTTTCTTTCTCCTGCAGGCCTTAGCTCACCTGCTTTAAAGGTGCCCATACACCTTACAATTATCTGCAGATTTTCTGTGGTCAGATGGAAAAAGTGCAACAGATTGGCGCAGGTGGAGATTCCTCCATCCACACAGTTAAGTGTAGATGGAGGAATCTGTTGCACCTTTTCCATCTGACCACAGAAAATCTGCAGATAAATTGTAAGGTGTATGGCCAGCTTTACACTGCATACACTCTCTGCTTGTCTCACAGAAATATCCTTCACGGACACATGAACTCACTTCAGCTGGAAACTCCAGATTGTCTAATGCTTTCAAAAAACAGCTTCTGCAAGAGATGGTGCTGGCTGCCCGCATTCAAACACCATATGTGAGATTTGGGGAAGTTAGCACAAATGGTGAGGGCATTAAAGAGGCATCCACTCGCTTAGGACTTCTTTTAAGGGCTTCCTTGCCCACTTTTATTAAATGAACATTCACAAAACGATGCGATTACCCTCGCAGGGGTTCTTTATCCCAGAAAATACAGGCACATCCAGCCTCCTGTCTTTGCATTCACAGCACTGCTGCTCCGGCCTCAAGCCACTGTCTGTTCCTCCAGACGGTCTCGTGCTAACCTGCACAATAGGTCTCACAACCCCGCAGCTCCCTGCTGCACTGGCCTCCACTCCGACTCCTGGGTGGCGTTCTCCTGACTCACAGGTGGGGCCCTGAACATCCGCCAGCACCCTTTCCATAAGGGCTGTGCACAGGTGTGCAATCATTAGGTGCTCAACCCTACTAAACCACGGACCCAGCACTGGAGATCTCATCCCTCCCAGTTCTCTTAGAAATCTCCCAGTTCCAGGATCCCAGTTATAATTTAGAAAACCCGGAAAGAATTTCAAAGCCAGCTCTTTCCTAATAAAAGTATTTAACCCTTGCAGACTACTGGGACTACTGCAAGGGTTAAGTGCTCATTTTTGTCTAGGTTCAAATATAACAAACTTATACTAACCCAAACCTTGGAGCCGGGTTACTCTTAGACCAGTACGTTGCACCTCGCTCCCCCTCGGCGGTAGCCCCACTGCAAGGGTTAGGAAAAATTTCCCTCAGAGTTCTGCTTTAACATATTGCCGCTTACCACTTCTTAAACATGGTCACTGCATTAGTTTTTTTTTTTAGGCTTTTTTCCTTCATTTTGATATTGATCCTGCCAGTAAGACATTTGCTGTCCTATAGTAACAGGGTACAGTCACTGTATTGTATCTATGGAGAAGAAGCATTGTCACCCTAGACTTCTCTCCTTACTGCAAATAGTTCTCTCCTCATCACCATCACACAGAGGTAGGTGTTCTGTAGTTCACAGAAAAGAACTAGGCAATGCTGATGACATTGTCTTTGATTTCAGTTCAGTGCACAAGAAGTTACAAGGATTTCTGTAGAATCAACATGATTGTTTCTATTCTTGCAGAAAATGTACTTAGCCTGAAACAAACTAATTCAGCCACCCCATCTAAGGACTGGTATGCTGAAATATATATATATATATATATATTGTGGCAGTGCGGGGCAATGCCACTATGTAGAATGGCAAAAGGGTCACCCAGGACTCTCAGCCAGAGGGGCTGAGCAGTTCCAGGACAGAACAAACATTTTCCCAGGAGTTCTGCTTTGAACGTTTGTTCTGGGGTTTTTAAATATGAAGAACTCATAAGGCACTGAGTTATTGACTAAAGAGTTCTTAACACTTCAAATACTCTGGGAAAGTTTACATATTATGTCAATGTGAGATGTAAGACCACATTTCCCATCTTTATGGGATAATAGAGTCTGTATTTTGTCATGGGGAGACCCGGAAGAAAGGGGTTGGTAGACTAGCTTCTACTCCTGGACAGCTAAAGTGCTGAGTGGGGATGATAGGCTAGCTTCTACTCCTGGGCAGTACTCAGTGATGTCACCGCTCAGCTGGGAACTTGGAAAGAGATTGTGCAGAGCAGTGTCTCAAACAGGTCCTTTTGCTGCTTTCTGTAAGCTGCCAAACATTTCATCCCACTGCCGTGATAATACAAATCTATTCATACAAATCCGTCTTCTATGTATACAGGTTCACGATTCAACAAATGAATCACCGCTCTCAGGGCTTGTTCACACCATGTCTGGATCATGGGGAGAGAGACTGGTCATACTGCATATGCCCTTTTAAAGGGGAACTGTAACCATGAAAACTAAAGCAGTCTAAATGCATGCTCTGGTCCAATAATATTCAGGCTAATTTCCACAAGTTAAAAAAGCACCATAGCAGCCAACATCAGTAAATAAAATGTACTAAGATGCTGAGAATGAAGACATCAGCTGGTCGCTTGAAGGGACATCTTTTCTGGTTGTAGAGCAGTGCCTGTGAGATTAGCATGTTTGTTACAGAAGTAGCTTGTGCCACATTGATAATTTGTCATTATTTGTATCAAAACCCCAAGATCCCTAAGTAATTACTTTTAAAAAGCCTGACTGGTTTCTTCTCTTGCTGTTAATGTTGGGGTGGAGGAGATTGGCATTTGGGGTGAGTGAGATAACTGCTGCCTTTGTCCTGGTTACAGTTCTGCTATAACTTTGATTACATTTTTTTGGGACATACACTGCACGCCCAAAGTCAACAAATGGTTTAAACACTGTACTTTACATCACAGTAAACATATGTATTCTATCATATATCTGTTTTATATTTTTTACAGGAACCATGGTGCGCCCTATGACAACAGACCCTAGAGGACACCTTAAAGCAGCTTCAGGTCACTTTTTGTATTCATATTAGGGTTGTAAACCCAGCTCCAACCACAACATTATCTAGGAAGGGTAGGGGTAGAAACTCTGCAGGTTTTCTTCTTCTCTCTGTCTCCATTGGGGAGATTTCTTCTAATTTCTTGTGCCAGGGCTTCACAGGGATGGGCAATCTGACCAATGGGGACCAGGAAATGAACAAAAACACTTTCAAGGCTATTCACTAAAGGGTGAAGAGTTTGGAGAAGGCAGGAGAAGGGAACAATCTAGGCCAACATAGCTGAACTGGAAAGATTCTCCAAATTAGCTCACTTTCCAGTTCAGCTATGTTGTCCTAGATTGTTCCCTTCTCCTGCCTTCTCCAAACTCTTCACCCTTTTGTGAATAACCATTGTTTATTTTCTATAAAGTAAGGATTAGTACATCTTTCAGGTTTTTATTACTGTCTGTGTCTTCCTACCCTGGCGACACCTGTTTTCCCCCAGTAGGGTCACAGACAACAATGAAACCTGACAGAAGATCTAGCCCTCCCCACTCTTTCTAAATCAAACAAACAACATAGCTTTAATTGGGCTTTTTAGTTCCACCCATTCATACTGGAACAGAAACAAAAACGATCACCCAGTGTGCTTATAGTTGACTGAAAAGTAAACTATAGTCTATATACAGTTTTTCAGAGATGTACAGGTATATGTGAATGTGGTCAGTTAGATGAAAATAATGTACAGTATGAACAGATTGGAAGCCATATGTGCTCATTGCATATGTAGGCTTTGCTTCTGTATGCTTCTCCATCTTAATAGAAGCCTGTGGGTCAGGTCTGACCTCACTAAAAACGACAGACTCACCAAAGACCAGGTATCTCCTTCAAGATGATGGGAGTGGGGGTGTCTGCCTGTTATTGCATGAGGTGCTTAATTGCTGCAATCCTCACCCAATAATGATAAAATGCCAAACAGGGTATTTTGAATCTTTCCTATGCTCACTTGCAGGGATATTTTTGTATTTTGGTGGCATGGGTGTGGAAATAAATGAAATAAATAAAAAAAACTACTTCTCCAAGGACTAAAGCGGGGGCCACATCTACATAGTTACATGGTATTCGAGGTTGAATAAAGACATTAGTCCAACCTCGAACCCTACTTGTCCCTCATGACAATCTACTTGTCCCAATACTAAAAAAATAGTTTTAATCAAAACTAGGGATGCCCCAATACCGGTTTTTGGGTATCGAGTATGTGTACCAATGTTTTGCTTTCGGTACTCGCCGATACCGAGTATCGGTGCTTCCGTTGGCATGGAGCAGGCTTCCCGGGCAATCAGGAATGCGGGCAGTGGGTAATGACATGCTACCTGGCTTCCTGATTGCCAGGGAAGCCAGCTCCATGTTGTTTGGCCGGCTTGATTGTGATTGGCCGGGAAACCGGCTTCCCAGCCACACAGAATCGAGCCAGCTTCCCGGCCAGGAGAAGTAATGATCTGATTGGCCAGGGAGCCAGCTCAAAGCTGATTGGCCATGAAGCTGGCTTCCCAGCCAATCAGCAAGGAGCTGGCTTCCCGGCCAATCAGGAAACCGGGAGGCGGGTCATTAGTTGCTGCCCCACTTCCTGATTGCACGGGAAGCTGGCTCCATGTTCCCCTACGGCACTGCCTGTCAGAGGAAATCTTCCTCTGACCAGAAGTTCCGGTATTAGGAAAGGTATTGGAGCATTTGGGCGAGTACAAGTACTCACAAGAAACTTTAAAAAACACCACGCTATCTCCCCTGTGTTTTCCTCAATAAACCAAATGACAGCTGCTGTGAATAAATCAGAAGACCCAAATCCTGTCATCTGAAAATGGATTAACTAAAAAACACCACGCTATCTCCACCCTACAAAAATGTGTATTAATATCAGTGAATCAAAAGGGTTAAATTCATATGTAGATAAAAACCAAACACAGAATTTTCATCCCCTCAAGGTGCAAAACATCATCCTATATACAAGTACCCTGTATCAGTGCATCCCTAATCAAAACTGTATTTGACTGTGCTAAATAGCGCTTCTCATTGGTCTTCGTGGTCACCTGACCATGCTGACCAATGAGTGCTTGCAATTTGCGAGCGAAATTCGAAATGCATAGGGCAGGACTGCGCTGGACAGCAGTATGGGGTACAGATAATACACCTGTACTGGCGGAGGGTAAGGACTGTTCACCGAAAGGAAAGTATAGCCATGGGGCGAGGGGGTTTGGGAGAAACTGGGCCGGATTTGATCGGGGTAATTCCATTTTCCCATATTACCTGGGAAAGTGAACTTACCCTTTAATGCACATTTTGCGTGTAAGAGTTTTGCTGCTTGGCTACCACAATATGGCACACAGTGGAATGGCGGCAGCACTCATTGCACACACACGGGTGCGTTTTTTTTCCGGGCAGAGGGTGGGGGCAGCAGGGTTGGTTTTCATTTTTTTTTTACTTTATCACTTTTGTTTTGTAATTTTTATATATTTTTCTACTTTTTTATAACTTTATTATTTACTTTTTTTCCCAATTAATTTTATTCCTATCACATAGGGGATTACAATCCCCTATGTGATAGTTTGGAGGTGACAGGTTCTCTTTATGGAACGTGCCCTCCAACACAGATGTAATGTGCAGTTTCTGACAGCTGAGTCAGGTGGTGCCGGTCTCAGGGAACACACAGAGCAGATGAAGAATGGACGTTCTTCGTCTGCTCTACGGGCTCTATGGTGAGCTCAACCACGGCGGGAGGGGGCCCGGACACGATTGCTGCTGCACGTTTCATACAAGTGATCTAATCAGATCACTTTTATAAAAACGAGCAGCGGCTCTCCACTGTACATTTAGCTCTGCTTGTACGGAGCAGGGCTAAATGTACAAAAAAACGTCTCGCCCGGCGCCCGAAACTGGGCATCGGGCGATAGGAATTCCACACCCCTGCTATTGTCTGTTTACAAGTGGCACTTACTGATGCATTTTTTGCCCTTAGTATATCTGATACAATAATTGCAAGCAATGCTCTAAACCAGGGGTAGGCAAACTTTGACCTTCCCGCTGTGGTGAATCTACATCATGCATCTGCCTCTGGAAGTCTGTGGCTTTAAGACTTTTGTAATGCCTTATTTGTAATCTCACCACAGCTGCAGGTCTGAAGTTTGCCTACCCTTGCTCTAACCTTATATCAAGCCTTGTTGTGCTTATATTTATATTAAAGTGTATATAAAGCCAAAACTTTTTTTCCTGCTTTGGATGGAGTGGAGAAGGGCTAGAACTTCTGTTAGGTTTCTGTTGTTGTTGGTGACCCCTGGAGGAATTCACCTTCTCTGTGTCCTATTGACCATTATCACTAGGACTGATAGTAAGTGAAAATCCAAAATTGTCCTGAGTTGTTACTGGGATAGGAATAGAGGGGAAATCTTCCAGTAGAGACATTAATTCCTATGACCAGTAGGACAGGATTTCCATTACAGTAATACCTTGGTTTACAAGTAACTTGGTTTGAGAGTGTTTTGCAAGACAAGCAAACATTTCTGAAAAATGTTGCCTTGATATACAAGCAATGTCTTGCACTAAGAGCAAAATTTTGTAGAAAAGCGCCACCCGAATAAGGCTGTAGCAGTGCGAGCGATGAGTCTGTTTAACGACAATGCAATGTCACATTGGATAGATTCCTTGTTAAGGTTTCACGAAATGAAAAAGATTCCATTGAGTCAAGAGATATCATTGATTCCGTTAGTGATAGTGAAAGTCGTCCTACACAATAATCCTCCTCTCTCTCGTCCCCCTCACACCAGCCACGAAGGTACTGGCAATTGGCTTATTTTTCTTTATATTTTGTACAGTTTTATATTCCAGTACTGTATTATAATCATTTTTATATGAATACTTTTGGGTTGTGGAACGAATCATCTGAGTTTCCATTATTTCCTATGGAGAAATTCGCTTTGATATACAAGCGCTTTGGATTACAAGCATGCTTCCGGAACGAATTATGCTCGTAAACCAAGGTATTACTGTATTTCGATAGGTTGCGTTACTTCCTATTGTGTCTACGAGACAGAAATACTATAGTAAAATTATGGGACAACAAATCAGGAGTGCTAAAAAATGACTATCACTTACAATGAAAACTCAAAACATGCCCTTACTGATAATATACTATATATAGCCTGTACACTCAATTACTAAACTAATCCTATTTAAATGCAGAGGTAGCTGGACTGTCAAGTGTAAAAAAAAAAGTAATGTCATGGAGGATAATTCTTATACGGAAAATATCTGTATATATCTGATATTGTCAGGAGCAATGGAGATTCATGGATTTGGTAGTAGATAGTGATACCAGATCAGATGTTTATTAAGTTATTTGTCTAGCTTTCATCTTTTGATGATAAATATACAGTTCATAAGATACTGAACATAAGTCCTTTTTGCAGGCACAGTTTCGCCAAACACTGACAAAGATACAGAGGAATCAAATTTCTTTATTTCAAAAGATATCCCGCAAGGAAGCGGACACCCTGCTCCAGAGACAGGTATTTATGTGTACTTGGTAGTCCAGGTATTTGAAATACACCAGGATTTAAGCTGAGACTTTTGTAAAGTTTTCCTTACTGAAGGGCACATTCCGACCTACCCATTGTTGTGCGTAGCTGAAATACACGACAATGCATAGTATTTATGTAAGGCAGCGCACCACAACACATGGTAATGCACACTACCATGATGTGTGCTGCAGCAGAACAAATAGTGCATTTCTGATTTTTAATTTATTTTAAATTGCTTTGAAGGGGCTACCCTAATGCATCAGGCAGTAATGCAGCTGCATCAAATTGGAAAGCTCTAAGGCCTCATTCACACACAACGCAAGAGCAAAATTGTATATTGCGTATATATGCACGCACTATATGCAATCCCAGAATGCATCGTTCGTAATAGAAATTTTAATGAACTGTTTTTACGCTACACAAATATACGGCTACATACGCGGCTATGTGTATGGAGCCGTTTATTTGCATATGGTGCATATACGCATGGCAGTGTGAATGAGGCCTTACAGGGTTACTCGCAAAGCTGCCTTGGGCAGCCGACTGAATAACCGAACCGAAGTTCTGAAGTTTCAGCCGTACATTGGAAAATAATCATTAGCTGCAGCCCTAAGTGCTAGAATCAATTCAGTCAAGGAGGAAAGATGCAGATAGATCTACCTATCTATCTATACACATGGATATAACATGGAGGACGCCATTGACAACTTCTGAAAATGCTAGTTGCTTGGCAATGCTTTGGAATTAATACTTATGGATGGGTCCCTGACATATACCAAATATAGAGATGATGATCTCAGTTCAGTGATTCAGAATTAGTGAAACCAATAGTCACCAAGCAATTGCTGGAATCAATTCAGCCAAGGAGGAAAGATACAGATAGATTGATCTATCTATACACAGGGAGATAACATGGAGGCCGCTATCGAAAATTCCTGAAAATGATAGTTGTTTGGCTGTTATTCTGCCCTGCAACACTTATAGAGATTTGTTGTATGCATGTTTTGGTTTAGAAGTATTAAAACCACGGATCACCAAGCAATTGCCAGCTTCTGTGTTTCCCTCACTGCATATTTATTTTCAGCAGACTGAAACAATGTAGAAATCCCTTTAACATTTTTCATTGTACTGTTGCGGAGTAGAAAAAAAAAATGTATGCATCTCTATATGAAGCCAGACCTTTTGTGACTGTTCAGTGCCTTGGCAGCATCTCCTTCCTGTAAAAAGAGAGGCCATTATTCTCTATGGTTGAATCTTGAGTATGTTCAGTAATAACTTTGGTCATAGAGAACGCAATCCATAAACCTGCTTACTGCAGTTGGGGCAGGTACAGTCCTGAAATGCCATAAAGGTGTGTGTGTGTGAGGTGTGGCTTATGTGATCAGAAGGGTGAGTGGGCCCATATCGAGCCATGTTATTTGTAATTTCAATAATATATAGTACAACAGCATGATCTGGTTTAATCGCTGTAAGAAACTGTATTTCAAAATAAAACTGTTCTGGTTATGAATTAATCTTTGTCCCTTTTAGGAGCAGTCCTGCCACTGGCCCTTGGTTTGGCAATAACATCATTACTGCTCTTGATGGTAATTTGTCGTCTCCGACTGGTAAGACAGAAGCTGAAGAACGCTCGACCATTAACGTCAGAGGAATCAGACTATCTAATTAATGGCATGTATCTGTAATACAATATGAAACAACGTCGCTTGTCTATTCCATGAAATTACTGTCCATGTAAAATCAAATCAGAAATTGCCTGTTCTATTAAAAGTGTGTAACCAAAACCTGCAGTAGCCTCTTGTTAAAAAGAAAACACAAATATTTATATATAAAATAGGTACAGATACATTTGTTGGTACTCGCCCATGAAAAAAGTACCCAATTGTCCCTTAAAATAACAAAACTGATAAATGTAATTTCATCTAACATTATCTCCCTCACTGTAGGGTCTGTACACCGCAATGAAGAGCCAGGATAAAGCGTTTCTCATTTGTCAGGTTACCGTGCTGTTCAATGAGCGCTCACCATTTGCAAGCATTAGGCTGGAGTCTGAGTGCATGGCTACTGTGAAGTACAGACCATACACCGGCTGGTGGCTGGCACTTGCATGAAAAAGTATGAACAGCAGAAGCAGGGAAGGTGGCGGAGTGACGTGGGTAAGTTCATTTTCTGACATTTTGTTAAAAGGTGAACTTACCCTTTAAAACTCAGACTTTGCTTGTGATTATAACTCAACTTTATATTTAACCACTTGCTGACCAGGGTGTTAAACCCCCTTCCTGTCCAGGCCATGTTTCAGTATTCAGCGCTGCAGTACTTTGACTGACATTCATTCAGTCATATAACGCTGTACTGAAACACATTTTGTACCATTTTTTGGAGACAGATGGAGCTTTCTTTTGGTGGTATTTAATCACCACTGGTGCTTTTTTTATATATATATATATATAATGAACAAAACATTTTTTTACATTGTTACAAAATATTACCCAATTTTTTGGTAAAATATAAAAGACGGGGTCAAGTCAAGTAAATAGACACCACACATGTCAAGCTTTAAAATTGTGTGTGCCTGCGAAATCGCAAAAAACTACCGTGCCTAAAATTGGTCATAGGCGACGCTTTACAAGCTTTTACCGCTCAAAAATTTTTGTTTTCGAGCGTAGGCGTACCCGACACGTATTTACGTTTGCACGTGCATGCACACGAGGGCCTTAAAACTTTTTTTTAATTTTACCCTTAACTTGATTGCCATCACATAGGGGGCTCACAAGCCCCCTATGTGATAGCCAATATACACGGACAGGTCCTCTTTATGGAGAGATCAGGGATCCCCAAGACCCCTAATGTCACCTTGGGACCCCCAAAGAAGCTTATGAAGCAGAGATCTGCTCCACCAGCTTCTATGGCTAGCAGCCACAGAAATGACAGATAAAGGCGTAAGTGATGTAATACACATTGCTTGCGCCTTTAGAGAGAAGGAAGAGAGATTAGCAGTGGGAGAAATGATCTCTCCTCCTCCTACTAGTCGCTGTGCTGGTGTTCTCGGTCCCGTGTACCGCAGGGTGGGGGCAGCGGTGCCAGGGATAACCGGTAGTGGCAACAGAGTAGGGGCCCACAGAGTGCAGGGCCATACAAGCGATCGGCCAGTTGTAGAGCTGGCCAAACGCTTGTATGCAACAGCCGGTAATGCAGCCGCCTGTATTTTCATGGGTGGACAGCAAGGGGTTAATATAAAACAAATGAAAATGACATGGACAAAAATAATGCAGCATCCCTAAACCTAACATGTTGCACAACCTATAAAGGGAATCACAGCAAACAAGTGATTTCTGTCGCTCTCAATGAGACTTCTGGACCTGCCAACAGGTAGTTTGGCCCACTATTCTTGTGCAAACTGCTCCACCTGTCTCAGGTTTCAGCTCTTTCCATAGATATTTCGATAGGATTCAGATTAGGGCTTACAGAAGGCAACTTCAGAATAGTCCAAATTTTTTTTTTGCTGTTGTTTTTCGGTGCCTTTAGCGGTGTGCTTTGTGTTAGAATTCCTTGGTAGTTCTGAAACTTCATCGTATCCTGCACAGGTTGAAGTGGAATAGCAAAGGCTGGGAGCAGGCAAAAGCTTAATTTAGTAGGTTTAATGATGACAGCTGCAGCTGGGAACAGGCAAGTTAGAGAGGAAGAAAAAAAAGGGAAGAGGCTTGCAGGCCCCTTTTTATTAAATTTTTTTTTTTTTTTTACAATACAACCATATGGGTTACAATATCATTGGCTGCCAAGGCCTACGTCACTGCAACTATCCAGAAATCTTAAAATTCCTTAGATGTCTCCTAAGTTGTTTCAGACCCTTCTATTCCAGCCCAAGCACATACACTGGACACGTGCCAAGTGTTTCTTGAATGCTCTTAGGGTTTATCTAAGGTTCATCTGTATATGTTTGTATAAAAGCGGCTTAATTTCTAAGGCTAAAAAACTTGAAACTATTTAATAACATTAATATATGCTAATTAATATCAAGAACATGAAGTGTATGAGTTAATATCCAAACTCCACTACAAGTTTCAAAGGACCCTATGTCAAATGCATCAAACCAGTCCCATGATGGAGCCTCTTCAATGTTTTACAGTAGGTATGGTATTCTTTTAGTTGAAATCTTTTTTTCCTTCTGTGAACATAAAGCTGATGTGACTTGCCCATAAGCTTCAGTTTTGTCTAATTTCTCCAAAGGATATTCTCCCATAAGCATTGTGGCTTTTCATTTTAGCCAATTTTGGTGTTTTCTTTACGGGTTTTGTTCAATAATGGGTCTTCCTCCTTTGAGCCCACTATCACTCAAAAGTGTCAAATGGGTGCGATCACACACCTTGACCTTGGAGTTCTGCTTGCATCTCTTCGGACGTTTTGTCTATCATTTGCATTATCGTTATGTTTAACCTAAGGATGATTTCCCTGTCGTGGCCACATCCAGGAAAGTTGGCTAAACTCCCATGGACCATAAACTTCTTAATATTTGTTGTTGTAGTCTCAGGAATTGACATCAAGCTGCTTGAAGTTGGTCTTATAACCTTTACCTTTTGATATGCTGATCTATAATTTTCTTTCTGATCTCCTCTGACAATGCTCTCCTCAGCTTTTTCTGGTCCATACGATGATACCAAACAGCAGAGTGACTACTTCTCTCCATTTAAATATGGTGACTGATTACAAGATTAAAAGGCATGTGACACTAATTACAAAAAATTTTACTTTGAAATATCACTATGATCCAATCATTTATAATCTTTTCTAGGGGTACTGACAAATCTGTCCAGGTCATTTTAGAATATCTTTGTAGCAATACCAAAAGGCATGCGGGTATACATAACACAATTGCTTTTAATTTATTTAAAGCATTCAGCATTGTTTTAATGGTAAGGGTACCAACAAATCTGTCCACTTCTACGCATCTGTATTTGGGAAAATGCAAACAATGCCTACATGCAACCTATGCACTGGAGGCTGATTTACAAAAGCTGTAGCAGTTAAGCATAGTATCCAATTAGACTCCTTAGATTTGCTTTATTGGCAAGCTCATACTTAAAGTTAGTCTGTCACAGGGAGTGCTTTCCTTTCCTGCTGTTCACGCCACTGAAAATAAATCCTTGGCTTAGGTGTCTTCCGAAACTGACATTTTTGGAAATGTCCATCTGCTGTCTCCCCTACTGTGCTCAGTGGTTTTACCTGCAGCCCTCCATGTCACTACAGAACAAAGTAGTGACAAGTAAAACACCAATCCTACCATAACAATGACAAATGAAAAAAAATGTGAGGGGAAAAAGGCTGGTGTCCGTTTATGAAATACTGTGGGCACAAAATACATCATTTCATAAAATATAGTTCTCTGCTCTCTCAGGGTCTGAGACAGCTGTATCCAAAGCTCTAGTTTGGTGGCCGTTCCCTGTACAGTTGTGGGATAAAATAATCTGTTTTGAACAGAGATCTGCTACTTGCATACTAAAGCAAATGCTGGCCAGTGTGACTTTCCTGGTCTGTTAATTTCCAGGAAACCTATATATGGTATAGAAAGATTGAAAGGTTTTGGAACATTACATTCACAATGCTTGATAATGCTCTCATTTTGATGCTGGGTAGATAAATCCATGTTCTCGCAGCAAAGCAATAGCACAATTAAGTGTTTTACGAATGTCTCCACCGATTTATTTCATGTGCCAGTGTCACACAGCTTTAGAGCTCTTACCATCTGTTCAAAGAAATTAGTGACTCCAAAACAAAGTAAAAATTAGCGACATGTATGCCATTGTTCCCAGAATGACAGAAAGCAAAAAACCCCTTCAGATCAATTTTCCCACAGTGAGCCTGTAAATCTTTTCTTACATGTCAATTCAGAATAATAATGCATGACACCACACAAAAGAATTACCTCAGGAGCAATCTTGTTTTGTACTTTATTTGGCAAAGCGTAACTGCATAAACTGTTCAACTGCAAGAACATGGCTTACACAGCACGTGTTGTACACAGCAGTGAACTATAAACTGCATCAACAGGAAAAAAGCTTGGTTGTAACATCGGTTGCCAATTATTTTTGTATCTGAAAACAACGAAAATTATTTATGTGTTCAGGTGTCTACAGCTCTCGTACTGAAGATACCAGGCCATTGTGCTCAAGCACCAACGGGGTAGCAAGAAGCACACATCTTGGTACTCAAGTAAAGCATCCACATGCTACTCTAACACACCACATCAAAAAAAGCTCTGAGAAGGAAGCTCGGTTCTATGTTTAGCAGCATTTAGCAGAAATGTGACATTGTGTATGTACTCTAGTGTCATTTTGTGACCATTTGCTAATTTAACATTGATGCTGAATGTTGCAGTTTTAATGTTTCCAGATATTAAAATAATATAAGTGCAATTTTAAATAGTTCACAATGTGGTGTATTTGCATTGGGTTAAACACTGGCATTTTTAATGCATAACATAAGGGGAGAAAAAAAGCTTAAATTAAAGATCTCAAGTTAAACTTGCACAGTTTACAGTTTTCTTAAAAGCCAAAAGGAAAAAATAAAACACCTCCATGCCATTTTAACAGGGCAACAAAATCCAAAAAAAGCTGCACCGATGAGGAATCTGGAAAAAGCCTTTGAGAGTGCAGTAGAAGCACCACACCATAATACTATGTTTGAATTGGAGTGATGAAGACATTACAATTCATCCCTGTAGAAAAAGAAAATGGGAAATGAATGGTTACAGGTTAAAAAAGCGCTAAACTCAAAATTAAATGAGGTAAATGCAAAGCAACAAGCCAAAAAATAAACTAAAAAGCATCAACCATAAATACACACCAGCATGTATATTTATGTTCTTAAAGTATAATGCACACATTTTAGTTTGTGAGTATAGCTAAAGAAAATGGCATATACACACACACCTCTAACTGTACAACCTTATTTCTGAATGCAGAATATTCTGAGGAAACAAAGGGTGTGCTTACAGTTATGGTTAGACCGCAGGCAATACATGGCTGTATTAAAATTTTAGGGATGTGTACAGTATATATATAAATACACTTTTCTAATTACTAAAAAAGAAAATGCATGCAGGTATTTGCATGAAATTGCAAAATAAACAAAATGTGTAGATAAACAGGAATAAAAAGGAGAACACCTAGTTGGTTTATAGATTTTGAAAGTATACTGTATTTTGAATAATTTATCTTTTACCCCCCCGCCCCACTCACAAAAGTGTTATACTACCCTGTCTCTGCTCCTGCAGATTCATGCTGTGAGCCCACGGGGAGCAGCATAGCTGCTACTACAAACCCAGATGGGTCCCTT